CAAGTAAGGTAGGCGTTTTACTTAAAAGAGCTATCAAGCAATTTGCCAGCGTACGAAATAGAAAAAGGAAAAAAGTCAACATTTTTGAAATAAGAATGATAAAGGAAATGCTGAAGTAGTAAGAAAAAAAGAGAAGAAATGAAAGAAGAAAAAGAGGAGGAAGAGAAGAACATTGAAAAGAAAGTTGATTTATCTTTAATATTTTGTCATATAAAATTTAAAAAATTATTGCTCCGAAATTGAAACAAACAAACAAACAAATAAAAGAATAAACTTTAGAGATTATCTGATCAATCAGATTTATTAAAATCTAGATAAAAATATAGCCCATTTGAATTGGATATTGCTTACTGATTTCAATAAATGCTCTAGTACCTGTATTTTCAAAAAACTTAAAGGAAAACAACAAAATGGTGAAGATTAAGTGTTCATATTGGAGGTATTGCAATATGATGCAGTATCAAAACGACTATGACTAAACAAAAAAAATTTTTTTTTGTTACAGATAACTCCAAAAATACTGCAGCGAAGAATACAGTGCTATGAACAAATGAAATAATGAATCTAAAAATCCGAAACTAAAAAACAGAAAGCAAAAAAAAACTCAGTTTTTTCATTATATTTTCTTTTACACTAAAAATATAAGAAGAAAAAAACTGACAGCGCTATTATTGAAAAATAAACTTAGAAAAAATTTTTGTAGTAATTTCAAAAACTAATTTATTTTTGTTGCATCATTTACGCACTAAATTTAATTTATCACTTTTTGCTTATCCACCCACAAGTAATCTGCTGTTTTCAAGAATTAAGTTTTTTCAGTAACTTTTTTGAAAGTCAAACTTTGTTATGCTTACAAAAGCAAATTTTTGTTGAAACAACCAGTCATTTTTTTTTTTAACTTAATGTTTCACGTATATATCTTGTAAAAAAATTTAGATTTTGTTCAAAAAAGTATCTAATAAACTGCTATAGATTGAACAATAAATAAATAGATAAATAAACGTGAAAAGATAGAGTCAAATAAACGAACTAAATTACAAAATAATACTTTTACCTGTTGTCTGTTCGTGAGCAAATTGGATTAGATGCTGATTTTCGTCAATGTATCGCTGTAATTCACGATTTTGTGTGCGTGAAAGTTCACCACGATTCAGCAGATCGCAAGCATTTTTGAGCTTTGGCTAAATAGTTTAAGAGGAAAGAATACTGTTGCTGCTATTGTAGAAAAGCAAAAAAAAAATCTTGCTTTTTCTTAAAACAATTTTTTTGATTAAAATTACTCGATTCGGTATCGATCCACAAAAAATTAATGAGAAAATTCTTAGAACAACTAAAACAAGTCACATTTAAAATAGTGGTAAGGTTGACAGCATTGTTTGAGGTTTAAGCGAAGCAAAATTTTTAAGAAAAACGAAACAAAATATTCTGATAGCAGGCAGTAAAACCATCTAAGCTTCTTAGACAATAATTTTTGTCTTTTTTCTTCGCAAGCTGAAGAAGTGAAAAAGAAAAGATAACGTAGAAGAAAATTATAAAATGATACTTCAAATTTTGAATATACGAAGATTAGAACTGTTAAAAAGAAAAAAAAAGTAGATGTTTTTATAACGATTAATGAAAAGTTTTGAAAATTGAGCTTTAAACCAGATTAAGAATAGGAATAATAGGTTTTCTTTTATTTTCTTAGTCACTGACTCAGTACAGTAACCAAGAAAAGATTTAAGTTGCGAAAAGTTTCGCCTAAACAGCAAACAAAAGGTAAATGTAGATGTTAAAAGGAAGGCAATAGAACGTTTTAGGCGAGCATCAGCCGAATAACAGCCAAAGGGCATAGGGAAAAACGAATAGCTGAAATAAAAGCTTTAGACAGAACTGCATTTAATGTGTTATAGTGTGTATTGTGCGTATGTGGATGTGGATTTTCAGTGAAGTTCGACAAAGCAAACTGGAACACCGAATGCGTAGTTTCTGTTGTAAAATACATCATATATTTTTAACTCCCACATTGTTGTTCAGGGTTTAAAATATAAGCGCTTGGCTTGAAACGTAGAAGATTTGATGCATTCCACATTTTCAAAACAACGTAGAACATTTTCATTCAACAGTGACCCACTGGAGAAAACAAGAGCAGAAGAAACAGTGAAACAATCTGAAATTTTAGATGTTATTTTGCTTAAGCTATAGAAGGCATAAACCTATTAAGATTTTTTGCTGTTTCTCAACTGAAACTACCTTGGCTTACCATGAGCCAAGAAAATGATCAGATTGGTATAGGCCAATTCTAGTTATAAGCTTTGGAACAATATTCAGAATAAATAAAAATTAATAAACACAAAAATGATATTTTTTTATTTAGGTTTGATTATGAATCAGTGTAGAAGTAAAGTAACTGTAAAAACTGTATAGTAAATAAAACACTCAAAATTGGTTATTTACACTATTATATCAGTTGACAAGCCAGTGATCTATGTTTATTTCTAAGCATTACAAATTTTGGTTGCTTTCCAACAATATTTTTTACTGCAACTTTAACTGTAGAAAGAAAAACTCAACCTATTTGTTGTTATAAATTGTTCATGCTTTATTTTACTTCAGAAAAGTTTTTTCTCGTTTGAATACGCCAAAAAAAAAAAATACACCACCGTAAACCAATTGAAAAAATAAGTTGCAATTTTTTTTAATGTAAAAAGCAGAAAACTTTGAAATAATTTTACATCTTTATTTACAAAAGTTTTGAGAATATTTAGATGCAAGAAAAAAAACAGAAAAAGAAGACTAGAGCTTTTAAAAAATTAGATAATCATTTTCAATCTTTCCTTTTCTTATTTGTTAAAGAATTGGTGCAACACCAGAAACGAATTTTTCTTTAAGAACTGTTTTGATATGTATAAGTCTAAATTTGTTTGAACAGGTTTTACATTGCTTCCTAGACTGCTAATTTTTTTCGTTTTAGACAGAAACGAAATTATAATGATAGTGATAGCTGAATGCTCAAGCACAAATGAGTAGACAATAAAAGACGAACGAATTAGTTAAAAATATGCAGACAATTAAAAAATTTTCAAAAAAAAACTTTTTTCTTGAACTTTCAGATCTTTTAAAATTTTACTTATTTTTTACAATCGCTGTTAACGATTTGTGTGAGGTAACCAGCTTTACATTACTTTTTTATACAACCTACTAATCTTCATCTGTCAAGTTAAAATTGCAGTTTCTTCAAATTCAGTATAGAAATCTAAGCTTTAAAATATGAACAGCAGCATCTCCTATGCTAAAGTTTCATACCCATATTACTAAACAGTAGGACAAACAGTGTTAGGTTGCTTTTAATTCAAGATGCTGAAAGTTCAGTCTGTCTCTGGTACATAGGTTCATTTGCGTTTATTACTTTTACTATGAACTGTATCTGAATTTGGCATAAAATGTTACTTATAATAGTACTTTAATTCGGTAAAAATTTTATGTGCTGTTATATTCCTGTTCATACAGTTCACTTTATCTCGTCGAATTCATTTGATAAAAATATTACAGAACACTATTTTGTTAAACAAAACGAACAGGAATAGCTTTGCTAAGCAAAATCTTAAAAATCATTTATCTTGGCTAATGAATCTTATAAATCGAAGACAAATTATGAAACACTGCTGTTTAAGCGTTTTTTTATCATTAATCTGCAAATTATCACTATCAAATAAAAAAGTTTGAAATTGGTTTTTTTTTCTTGGATTTATATAACATGTGAGCAATTTAGAGCTCAACCTATTATCATCAGTTCAGTGGTGCTAAAAAGTGACACAGAACACTTTGTCAAAACTGCCTGGATCCTTCCAAAAGCGCTAAGTTTAAGGGTGAAAAAAATTTATAGATACTTTAAGGCGCAAAAGATCTAAGAAGAATAAATAAATTTTAGATTTATTGATCAAATTCTTCTTAAACCGTAGTGTTTCTTCTGGTTGTCTAAAACAATTCTTGTACTCTCCGCTATGATGACACACCACTCACTAGCTGAAAACCTATTTTTAAACTTGAAAACAGTCAGTCTTATAACTTTTTTTCTCAATTTTATTTTTGAACAATAACTTTGTCTGTTTATTTAGCCATTTCAATTGTAAAAAAAATTTTAGAATAATCAAAACAATCAGAAACAACCTAAATTTATAACTTTAAGCATTTTGAATTGTACATTTGATCACAACAAACTAAAGACGCGTCTTCAAGCGAACAGACATAATTTTTGATAGATGTGATTAACAAAATAATTAAAGAAAATTTTTTTAGTGTTTAAAAACATTTGAACAAATTCACAATTACCAAAAAGACAAAAAGAATCTTTGAATAAGTGAAAAAGAAAAAAGAAAGCAAAAGTTTGCTGCCTGTTAAAAGTATATAACAAAAAAAAAAAAAAACTTTTTGTAGGAAGGGTAAAAAGACCAAAAACAATGCTGTTTTTTTTTTTACAACACAAAACTGCCCAACGAATAACGTCGGTAAGAGAAAAATGATGTAGCGGCTTTTTTTACAAATAAAAAACAAACCTTTGGAGGCGTACGAGCGTACCCGTTGTTCATGCCGAAAATTGTTTAGGCTGAAAGGTTAGCAACAAGATGAAGTATTATTTAGTTTATATGTAATAGTTAAGCCACTCAATAAAATACTTGAATTATAAAATTGAGAAAACAAAAGTGAATATGTGACAGAAAACAGATTTGAAAGTAACGCTTTGTAGTGCCTAAAAAAAAAAAAGCAATAAATTAATCAGTCTTTAAATGTTCAAGAAAAAATTTTTAAAAGTTAAGTGATTATAACAATGTACAGTCATGTCAGGTATTTTTTATTTAAACTTTGGTAAACTGTTAATGGTTTCAAAACTAAACCAGTGACCTCAGAAATGCATCTGATTTCAAACTGCTTTTGCTCTTTAGTCGTTGCTGTTTAATGTTATTCTCTGTATG